AATGAACACAAGATCCAGGTCCGTTTCAACACATTACATAAAATCCGTGATCTGGTTCCGTCTGTAAAAGATGTGATTCCGGACATACAGTACCCTGGTGTCTACAAACTAAGTTGCCTCTGTGGTAGTAGTTACATTGGCGAAACCAAACGCCATGTCTCGGACCGCATTCGTGAACACAAAGCAGACCTTAAACACGGTAGGACCAACACCTCGGCCGTGGCAGATCATTGTTATAATTCAGTAGGCTCACATGACATTGACTTTTCCAAGACAGAGGTTCTTTGTAAGCCATCTGGCTATCATGAGAGATTCGTTCATGAGGCTATCCACATATACAAGCACAGAGACAATTTCAACTGAGAAGATGGATTCTGGCTTAGCAATCATTGGAAAGATTTGATAAACCATTTCAGGTCTTAATTGATTGTTCACGCTTACAGTGGCTTTCAGACAGCATACATTAATTTTTCCTCTCCCCCCTCCTCTTTTCAGAACATAGATGGACTAGTCCTTCTAAATAAACTGCCAAATCGCTGCGTGTGGCGCTGACGTTTTTAATAAGTAAATAAATACAGCGTTTTAAAATAAATAAATTAATGCGAACCGACACACCTGATGACGCCCGTTTGTGTTATGGTCGAAACGTCGTGAAAATTTTTATTGTTTTATATATATTTATTATTTTATTGTTTCCCTTCAACGTGACTTTACCGAAAGAGCTAAGAATATATAGTAGTGTAGTTTATATAGAAGTGTAATATATAGTAGTGCAGAGTGTAATGTATCGTAGTGGAGTGTATAGTGTAATGTATAGTAGTGTATAGTGTAGTGTAATGTTTAGTAGTATCGTGTAATGTATAGTAGTGTAGTTTATATAGAGTTGTAGTATATAGTAGTGCATAGTGTAATATATCGTAGTCTAGTCTATAGTGTAATGTATAGTAGTGTATAGTGTAGTGTAATGTTTAGTAGTGTCGTGTATTGTGTAATGTATAGTAGTGTAGTTTATATAGTAGTGTAGTATATAGTAGTGCATAGTGAAATGTATAGTAGTGGAGTGTATAGTGTAATGTATAGTAGTGTATGGTGTAGTGTAATGTTTAGTAGTGTCGTATATCATGTAATGTAGAGTAGTGTAGTTTATATAGAAGTGTAGTATATAGTAGTGTAATGTATCGTAGTGGAGTGTATAGTGTAATGTATAGTAGTGTAGTATATAGTGTATAGTAGAGATCCAGATGATTTAAAAGTGCCACAGCTCCTAGCGGATTCCTCAATATCGGTAAGGGCAGAACGTTCCAGACGGCGCGGGAGCGCGTACAGAAAGCGCCGTGCGAGGCGGCGGCCTCCGTCTTTGTTTCATGGCCAGCTGCGAAAGGCGACCAGATGGTGGTGCTTGGTGGGGGGTGGTGGTGGGCACCGCCGCTGATACGACACATACACACACACGCACACACACGTACACACGTACACACACACACGTACACACACGTACATACACACACACACGCACACACGCGCTGGCACCTGCGCTCGTATCGATCCCCATTGATTTTGTTCCGCCCACACAACCCCATCCCAACGCTACCCGCCCCCTCGCAACCCCCCTCGCCCCCCAAGCCCCCCAAGCCCCCCAAGCCCCCCACGCCCCCCAAGCCCCCCACGCCCCCCACGCCCCCCACGCCCCCCAAGCCCCCCACGCCCCCCACGCCCCCCATGCTCCCCATGCCCCCTCGCCCCCCACGCCCCCTTCGCCCCCTTAGCCCCCCACGCTCCCCAAGCCCCCCACTCCGACCGCCACCCACCGCCGCTTTTGTTGGTGGGGGGAGTGGGGGGGGTGTTTGGTGGGGGGAGTGGGGGATGTTTGGTGGGGGGGAGTAAGACGATCGATGACGTCGTTTGCTCAGCAGACGCCGGCGCGAGACACCCAATTTACACTTCCACGGTGAAGCCGACCCCCACACGCCACCCACACCCCCCACACCCCCCACACCCCCTACACGCCACCCACACCCCCCCCACGCCACCCACACCCCCCACACCCCCCACACACCCCACACACATCCACCACACCCCCCACACCCCCCACACCCCCCACACCACCCCCCACCCACCACACACACCACCCCCCCCCCCCACCCACACGCCACCCACCCACACACGCACACGCCACCCACCCACACTCCACCCACACCCCACCCACCCACACACCACCCACCCACACGCCACCCCCCCCCACCCACACGCCACCCACCCACACTCCACCCACACACCACCCACCCACACGCCACCCACCCACACACCACCCACCCACACACACACCACCCCCCCACCCACACGCCACCCACCCACACACCCCCCACCCACACACCCACACACCACCCACCCACCCACACGCCACCCACCCACACGCCACCCACCCACCCACACGCCACCCACCCACACGCCACCCACCCACACACCACCCACCCCCCACCACACACACCACCCCACACACACCACCCCCCACCACACACACCACCCCCCACCACACACACCACCCCACACACACCACCCCCCGTCATCCACGAAACGCGGCGGTAACGAGGGAGCAGCGACAATGAGTGGAGCGGTGATGTTAGCGAGTGGGGGCTCATCCCGACAAGTCGCTCGCTCCGCTGCACGCCGCTGAATGTCTCTGCGGCATCGCGCAGCGCCAGCGTGGCCGTCACGAGGCGGAGGATCCATTGGGAAATCTCGCAGGGCAGCGCCACAACTCCGCCCCTCCTCCTACGTGTTAGAGAACGGATCCCACAGAAGCAGATGTCATAGAGCTACCTCTAAGGCCCTTCCGGTCCACATCCACGGTGGGGGGCAGCTCTTTCCCAGCCGCTCCGCCGTACGAGTACGCCGTGAGTCGTCGTGTGACAAGTCCAACCGACATTGTAATTCTCAGAGGTGCCATTTTGGCCAAATTAAGTGCGAAACTAAATTTAATTTGATGGGGGTTTGTGGGTGCATTGGGGACCATAAACTCACGACATTTGAGAATCCGGTTTAATCACAACTCAGTCTATGCGAGTCTATGGGGGGTCTCTATTTGAGTCTGTGGGTCTCTATGTGAGTCTATGGGTCTCTCTGTGAGTCTATGGCTCACTATGTGAGTCTATGGGTCTCTAAGTGAGTCTATGGGTCACTATTTGAGTCTATGTGTCTATGCGAGTCTATGGGTCTCTATTTGAGTCTGTGGGTCTCTATGTGAGTCTATGGGTCTCTCTGTGAGTTTGTGGATCTCTATGCGAGTCTATGGGTCTCTTTGTGAGTCTGTGGGTCTCTACGCTACACAACCCGGTTTAATCACAGGCGCCTGCCACCTGGAATTTGAACCCTGGCTGTCAGCAGCCTCCTCTGTCTATTAAAGGGATGAGCACACTCACACCCACACACACTAAAACACTATTTTTATTTTACCAGGTACGGTCCCACTGATATGCTATGTCGCTCTTTTTTAGAAGCGACCTGGCTATCGTAAATGATAGCTCAGCGAAGTGGTGGATTTATCATCACCACGTGGAATTGTACACCAGCCACATACTCCAAGCGCACGTTTCAATCTAAATGTGGAGGGGGAAAAGAAGACACGGAGAATAATCCACGCGATACCACGGGGAGAGAGAGACGGACACACGCACTCGCAAACTCCAAATATACAGCAGGCGTCAGGGGTTGGGATTGAAGGCACAACCGACCTCCTGTATACCAGGTGAGGTCGTTAACATCTCATAGCCACCGTGGATGGCTATTCCCCAGTCCGTGGGTGCACTGCTACGGCGGTTGGCGCGGTGCCAATCTCTCTCTCCGCCGCAACCGTCAATAAAATAAAACCTATCCGAGGCCGCAGGGCTCTTGAAATGTCATTGCCCCCCCACCTCCTCCTCAACACCACCCACGTGACCACATGGGGCCGGCAGGAGGTCGTGGGTTCAATCCCGCCCTGACACCTCCTGCTGTATATTGGGAGTCTACGTGTCTCTCTCTCTCCCTGTGGTCGCGTGGATTTTTAATCCGGGTTCCCCCTCCCGAGTTTTCCCTCCACATTTTTTAATCGACGCCACGCGTTCAGAGTGTTTGGCTGCTGCTATAAATTCCCACGTGGTGATAGGCCCACTTCTATGCGAGTCTTATGCGTCTCTACGCGAGTCTTATGGGTCTCTATGTGAGTCTGTTGAGGAGCGGTGGCGTAGCGGTTAGTGCGCTGTGCTCTGCATCCGGTGGCCCAAGTTCGATATCCGCTCACGGCCCAACACCGGTGACAATGATCTGCACCGGTCCTGGGCCTCCCCTAGATAGACTCAGCCTTAAATGAATACCTGGTGCGGTGTGTAAGCATTGCGGCTGGGCGTGGTGCTGACAACCCACCCCCTCGTACGTGTCGTAGGTGCTACTCGCTAAACAGCACTCGCCCCAATATTCTGCTCGGGAGGGGAGGAGGGAGGTGGTCTGATGTTTGGTGGGCGGCGTAAGTGACCTGGCCTTGACATTGCATTTGTAAAAATGCTTGAAACGTGCGATGTCGATTCTAACTGTGGAGGGGAAAAAACGGAGGACCCGGAGAAAAACATCCACGGGGAGAGAGAGAGACACGCATACTCCAAATATACAGCAGCAGCAGCAGGCATCAGTCGGGATCGAACTCACGACCTCTTGTATACCAGGCGAGGTAGTTAACATCTCCCAGCCACCGTGATGATGAGAGAGAGAGAGACGCAAACTCCAAATATACAGCAGCAGCAGGCGTCAGAGTCGGGATCGAACTCACGACCTCCTGTATACCAGGCGAGGTAGTTAACATCTCCCAGCCAACACGGCACCCCTTTGATCGTGCTGTTTGTTGCTGGCCTTTGGGTCCTGTGGTCGGCAATTCCTGTGTGTGAAACGAAACGGGAAACTCCACTCTTGTTGTCGTGGTTGTTCATGTAAATCACCGAAACAAACAAACTGTTGACGATGTTTTACAGCTTCGGTGACACGGGCAAGGGAGGCGAAGGGCTCTCGAAGGACTGTGGGGGTGGAGAAGAGGGTAACAGACGTCACCACCACCACCATCGCCAAGTTAACCACCGTCTCCTCGCCACTGTCGCCACCAAAACCACCACCGTCACAACCACCACCATCACCACGAACTTAACCACCATCATCACCACTGTCGTCACAACCGCCAACTTAACCACCACCTTCACAGCCACCACCGTCACAACCACCAACTTAACCACCACCTTCACAGCCACCACCGTCACACCAACTTAACTACCACCGTCGCTACTCTCGCCACCACCACGACCAGCACTGTCACAACCACCAACTTCACCACAACCCTCGCCACTGTCACCACCACCACCACCACGACCACCACCGTCACAACCGCAACTGCCACCGCCGCCACCTTCGTTCGTTCGCCGCCGCCACCACCACCAAAACCGCCACGATGTCGGTGTCGGTGCACGAGAACCGCAAGTCGCGCGCGAGCACGGGCTCCATGAACCTGGCGCTCTTCCACAAGCCAGGCCACGCCGACTGCGTGCTGGGGCGCCTCTGCGCCCTGCGCAAGCGCTCGCTCTTCACGGACGTGGTGCTGCGGGCGGGCGAGCGCGACTTCCCGTGCCACCGCGCCGTGCTGGCCGCGTGCAGCCGCTACTTCGAGGCGATGTTCGCCGGCGGGCTGCGCGAGAGCCGTGACGGCGAGGTGGACTTCCACGAGGCGATCCACCCCGAGGTGCTCGAGCTCCTCCTCGACTTCGCCTACACGGCCAAGTGAGTCGCTCGCCGTCACCCACCCCACTCACCCGGTGGGCGAGCGAGTGGTCGGGTTGGTGGGTGAGTGGCTGGGTGGGGGAGTGGGTGGTTGGGTGAGTAGGCTGGTTGAGTGGCTGGGTGGGGGAATGGGTGGTTGGGTGAGTGGCTGGGGGAGTGGTTGGGTGAGTAAGTGGCTGGGTGAGTAAGTGGCTGAGTGAGTAAGTGGCTGGGTGAGTAAGTGGCTGGGTGAGTAAGTGGCTGGGTGAGTAAGTGGCTGGGTGAGTAAGTGGCTGGGTGAGTAAGTGGCTGGGTGAGTAAGTGGCTGGGTGAGTAAGTGGCTGGGTGAGTAAGTGGCTGGGTGAGTAAGTGGCTGGGTGAGTAAGTGGGTGGGTGAGTAAGTGGCTGGGTGAGTAAGTGGCTGGGTGAGTAAGTGGCTGGGTGAGTAAGTGGCTGGGTGAGTAAGTGGCTGGGTGAGTAAGTGGCTGGGTGAGTAAGTGGCTGGGTGAGTAAGTGGCTGGGTGAGTAAGTGGCTGGGTGAGTAAGTGGCTGGGTGAGTAAGTGGGTGGGTGAGTGGCTGGGTGAGTAAGTGGGTGGGTGAGTAAGTGGCTGGGTGAGTAAGTGGCTGGGTGAGTAAGTGGCTGGGTGAGTAAGTGGCTGGGTGAGTAAGTGGCTGGGTGAGTAAGTGGCTGGGTGAGTAAGTGGCTGGGTGAGTAGGTGGCTGGGTGAGTAGGTGGCTGGGTGAGTAGGTGGCTGGGTGAGTAAGTGGCTGGGTGAGTAAGTGGCTGGGTGAGTAAGTGGCTGGGTGAGTAAGTGGCTGAGTGAGTAAGTGGCTGGGTGAGTAAGTGGCTGGGTGAGTAAGTGGCTGGGTGAGTAAGTGGCTGGGTGAGTAAGTGGCTGGGTGAGTAAGTGGCTGGGTGAGTAAGTGGCTGGGTGAGTAAGTGGCTGGGTGAGTAAGTGGCTGGGTGAGTAAGTGGCTGGGTGAGTAAGTGGCTGGGTGAGTAAGTGGCTGGGTGAGTAAGTGGCTGGGTGAGTAAGTGGCTGGGTGAGTAAGTGGCTGGGTGAGTAAGTGGCTGGGTGAGTAAGTGGCTGGGTGAGTAAGTGGCTGGGTGAGTAAGTGGCTGGGTGAGTAAGTGGGTGGGTGAGTGGCTGGGTGAGTGAGTGGTTGGGTGAGTAAGTGGCTGGGTGAGTAAGTGGCTGGGTGAGTAAATGGCTGGGTGAGTAAGTGGCTGGGTGAGTAAGTGGCTGGGTGAGTAAGTGGCTGGGTGAGTAAGTGGCTGGGTGGGGGAGTGGGTGGTTGGGTGAGTAGGCTGGTTGAGTGGCTGGGTGGGGGAATGGGTGGTTGGGTGAGTGGCTGGGGGAGTGGTTGGGTGAGTAAGTGGCTGGGTGAGTAAGTGGCTGAGTGAGTAAGTGGCTGGGTGAGTAAGTGGCTGGGTGAGTAAGTGGCTGGGTGAGTAAGTGGCTGGGTGAGTAAGTGGCTGGGTGAGTAAGTGGGTGGGTGAGTAAGTGGCTGGGTGAGTAAGTGGCTGGGTGAGTAAGTGGCTGGGTGAGTAAGTGGCTGGGTGAGTAAGTGGGTGGGTGAGTAAGTGGCTGGGTGAGTAAGTGGCTGGGTGAGTAAGTGGCTGGGTGAGTAAGTGGCTGGGTGAGTAAGTGGCTGGGTGAGTAAGTGGCTGGGTGAGTAAGTGGCTGGGTGAGTAAGTGGCTGGGTGAGTAAGTGGCTGGGTGAGTAAGTGGCTGGGTGAGTAAGTGGGTGGGTGAGTGGCTGGGTGAGTAAGTGGTTGGGTGAGTAAGTGGCTGGGTGAGTAAGTGGCTGGGTGAGTAAATGGCTGGGTGAGTAAGTGGCTGGGTGAGTAAGTGGCTGGGTGAGTAAGTGGCTGGGTGAGTAAGTGGCTGGGTGAGTAGGTGGCTGGGTGAGTAGGTGGCTGGGTGAGTAGGTGGCTGGGTGAGTAAGTGGCTGGGTGAGTAAGTGGCTGGGTGAGTAAGTGGCTGGGTGAGTAAGTGGCTGGGTGAGTAAGTGGGTGGGTGAGTAAGTGGCTGGGTGAGTAAGTGGCTGGGTGAGTAAGTGGCTGGGTGAGTAAGTGGCTGGGTGAGTAAGTGGCTGGGTGAGTAAGTGGCTGGGTGAGTAAGTGGCTGGGTGAGTAGGTGGCTGGGTGAGTAAGTGGGTGAGTAAGTGGGTGAGTAAGTGGGTGAGTGTGCTGCAGTGACCTGCTGTGATGGTGGCTAGAGACAGTGTGGTCGAGGCAGCGGGTGATCTCAGCACGGGTGGTGGAGGAATCAACGAGCGAGGTTCACAGGAACAAGTCACCATGGTAGTTGACCGTGGTGGCTGGAGATGTTAACTACCTCGCCTGGCATACAGGAGGTTGTGGGCTCGATCCTGACCCGGACTCCTCCTGTATACAGATAGTCCCCGAGTTACGGTGGTCCGACTTACGATATTTCGATTTTACGATGGCGATAGCGATACGACAAAATTGTTAAATATTTTAAATTTTGCGCGGTAGGCAAACGCAGCAGCGAACAACACGTTCAATGCATTTTAAAAGTTTTTTTTTTATAGCAGATTGGATTGTTTGCTGAAAAAAGTTTTTATCAAATTGCAGTTCATATAGGTAGGAATTTACCTTGTTTTTTTCTACTGTGCAATACAGTATTGTAATTAATAAATGCATGCAGTATATAGTTTATACAGTACGGTACTGTAAATTGCTCTGTTTTGCTAAATTATCACCATTCTTATAGACTCCTGGGTAGGCTAAGGCCATCTTCGACTTATGATATTTTTGACTTACGATGGGGTCGTCGTAACGCATCTCCATCGTAAGTAGAGGACTACCTGCATTTGGAGTTTGTGTGTCTCTCTCTCTGTGGGTCACGTGGATTTTTCTCCAGGTCCTCCGGTTTTTCCCCTCCACATCTAGAATCAACATCACGCGTTTAGAGTATTTGGCTGCTGCTGTAGATCTCCACGTGACGATGATAAGCCCACTTCGTTGGGTTATCATTTGTGATGGCCAGGTCACTTCTGATGAAGAGCCGCTACGTTTCGCGGCTCATTGGGGCCTCGCGTGGTAAATATATGTTTTAATTGTTTAGTTTGGTAGCAGCGATAAAAGAGCGCTAAGGGGGGGGGGGGGGGGGCTGTTACTGTCGGTGAGCGGGTGAATGGTAGAGAGTGGTGTGAGCACTCGGGACTGGGGCGCTCCAGCCCGGGTGTGGTTTGTACTTTGTACGCACGACGCGGAGTCACCACCGACCATCTCCTTGGCCGGAACTCAAACTCGGGCGTTGTCAGGTTCGCGGCGCAGCAGCATCAGCAGCAGCATCATTATCAGCAGCAGCATGAGCATCAGTAGCAGCAGCAGCATCAGTAGCAGCAGCAGCATCGGTAGCAGCAGAAGCATCAGTAGCAGCAGCATCAGTAGCAGCAGCATCATCAGCAGCATCATCAGCAGCAGCAGCATCATCAGCAGCATCATCAGCACCATCATCAGCAGCATCATCAGTAGCAGCAGCAGTAGCAGCAGCAGCATCGGTAGCAGCAGCAGCATCGGTAGCAGCAGCAGCATCGGTAGCAGCAGCAGCATCGGTAGCAGCAGCAGCATCGGTAGCAGCAGCATCGGTAGCAGCAGCATCAGTAGCAGCAGCAGTAGCAGCAGCATCATCAGCAGCATCAGCATCATCATCAGCAGCAGCAGCAGTGCGCTCGCCGCTGCGGCCCACCGCTCCCCGCTGTGTCATTGGTGGTTGACGAGAAGTCGCCTCGGCTTCGTTTGTGGGCGAGAGAGGCGCAGGCTTGAAACGGTTTGCGTCAATCAGCCAACGCGCAGGGTTTTCTCCTGAAGGTCAACTCCAAAACGTGGAAACCAAGAGGCTAGGAGGTGAATGTGCGGCTCTGCAATTGCTTCCCCTGTGTACCACGGTGGCAAGGAGATGTTAACTCCCTCGCCTGGTATGCAGGAGGGCGTGGATTCGATCCCGACCCTGACGCCTGCTGCTGCTGTATATTTGGAGTTTGCGTCTCTCTCTCTCTCTCCGTGGTCGCATGGATTTTTTAAATCTGGGTCCTCCGGTTTTTTCCCCTTCATATTTAGAATTGACATCACACGTTTAGAGTGTTTGCCTGCCAGAAATGTCCACACGATGACTATCAGCCCACTTCATTGAGCTGTCGTTTGTGATGGCCAGGTCACTTCTGAAAAAGAGCTTCATAGCTCAGAGGGCCCTACCTGGTAAAATAAAAATAAATTTAGATTTGAAGCTTTCATGACTGCAGGGATTCATATTCTTGGTTCTTTCGGTAAAGTCACGTAGAAGGGGAACAATAAAATATTTGTTTATATTTTTATTATTTTATTGTTTCCCTTCTACGTGACTTTACTGAAAGAACCAAGAATAATAAAAATAAAAATAGTTGGGTGTTAGTTTCAGCAAACTCCCTCTTCTGGTATGCAGGAGGTCATGGGTTCAATCCCGACCCTGACGCCTGCTGCTGTATATTTTGAGTTTTCTGCGTCTCTCTCTCTCATCATCATCAATCACGGTGGCTAGGAGATGTTAACTACCTCGCCTGGTATGCAGGAGGTTGTGGGTTCAATCCTGACCCTGACGCCTGCTGCTGTATATTTTGAGTTTTCTGCGTCTCTCTCTCCCCGTGGTCGCGTGGATTTTTGTCCAGGTCCTCCGTTTTTTTTCCCCTCCCTATTTAGAATCAACATCGCGGTGATGATGATGACGATGATAGCCTCTTGGTTGAGCTGAAAGCTGGCGGAAGGAGGCTCTCCTCTAGAGGGTAAAATGTAACGATGACGAGATGACGATGACGAGATGTAAACTTGAACTTGCATAAAACCCACAGAACTCTTTGCATTTGCAAAGTCTCCGTTTATTTCTCGTGCAGACAAACACTGGGGTTGGAAACAATAAGCAATTGGTGTTTTACCCTTTCTGGCAATACAACAGGAGGTGTGAAGATGTTCAAACACCAACTATAAACCCTTTGCAAGGATTCGAGTCTGCAT